CTCAGTTCCTATACTACTTGAGTTTCTGCTTATGCTGTGCTGAGTGGTTATATTACTACCTTAAGTTGAGTTTCTGCTAATTTTTTAAGGTATAGTAATATAACCATGCACTCAGTACAGCTAGTAAAAATATGCCTAACATTGGGCCGATTTATAATGAAGACGAATTATCCGTCTTTATATATAGTATTGTAACGTTTAGTAAAGTTTAGGGTAGCGATTATTTTCCATCCTCGCCAGAATAGCGTTTGGCTATCCTATAACTGTAATGGTTCTGAAATATTACAACTCATCTCATCTCTGTTTCATTGCAAAAACCATCAACTATCTTTCCAATTGCATAAATTGCCAAATCGGGCTTTCGGAAGTTGGAATCAGTTATTTTATACGACTGCGAGAATCCGGCGAAAGTGAAACTCAACTGAGATACTAGAACTATACGTATATAAACAAATAATTAATAATCGAACACAGCATCTATCTCAGAAAGAATCGAACACAGCATCTCAGAAACAATCGAACACAACATCTCTGAAACAATCGAACACAGCAATTATCTCTGAAAGAATAGAACACAGCATCATCTCTGAAACAATCGAACCTTCATCTATCTCTGAATGACGATTTAAATCTTAATGGCATTTGGAAACAACCTGCAGGTAGCGACAAGAAAGTATTCAAGTTTGAAAATACCCCGCTATTTCATGGAGAAAACCAAGAATATGCTGGGCATGGAGGGTAAGAAGGCTGATTAATATGTAACTCAATTACCAATTTGCTCCTCGATTCTTAAACTTTTTGATCCTATAATTGAGAGCAATAAGTCTGAAATCTCATGCCAGACTAACCCAGAACCGCCCATCTAACATGCTTCAGCATGTAAATGCTCAGTTATTTCATCTGATATTGAGGGCATAAGATCTAATTAGACTTCTAATAATGGGGCTTTACATTCTTTATCTAACTCTGTGGCCCTTATTACTGACTCTCTCAAGCAAATTCAAGAGGATATCGCCAAAATTGATGCAAAGCAAATCGAAATCAACAACAATTTTATGCATAACAAACCCCACGATTTAAATCAAATTTAATCGAAGTTAATGATGCGAGTAGTAACGATGCGGCTGAATCGATGTGTTGAAACACATAATAATAATTTGGTTACTCAACGAAGCAATTTATCAATACATATCATCCCCAAACACTTGGTTGCCTTGCCCCTTTCTGGGGAGAAGGGGTTACTTCTTAAAGGGGTTTAGGACTTTAGGTGCCACTTTTCTCACAGCTTCAATACTTATCAACAATCACATCGTTCTCCCATTTATCAAGAAATATGACAACCAGTCAGTCACTAGGTTGAAGAATTCTAATCCCAATAGATAGTGGAAAAAGGTGAAGTCATTGGGAGGTCTTTCATGTAAAGGTTCATTTCTCCAGCAGCTGATATCACAGGATCATTCTTCCTATGTAATGATCCTGCGGAGTCTTATAACGACTTTCTGGTAGGCCTTACTTCACATTTTGACCCATTGATCAGTAATGGTACCACCAATGAAAATTTTGTAGTGCCTGATCGACTTTTGGTTAGTACTGGTCGAGTTTTTTCCGCCTTGCGTGGAATTATAACTGCAAGATCACCCAGTCCTGATAACATCCCTAATAAAATTCTAAAGACGACATTTGCTTTTGAGCTTGCCCCTGTGATATCCGATTTATATAACAGCTCCCTGCGTCAATGAGTGCTGAAGCGATCATTCGTTCTACCAATCGCGAAGATATCCACACCTAAATTGATGGAGGAAGACTTACGTCCTATTTCCCTCACCTCCCAAGTTGCCAAGGTTATGAAAGGCTTTACTCTTGAGTCACTAATGTCCGAAGTCGCTGGAAAACTTGATAAAAAGCAACTTGCACTACCTGGAATATCAAAAACTCAGGCATTAGTCTACCCCTGCACCTGATTCATACTGCACTCGATAAGGGCCAGTGTCCTGTTAGACTTTTTTTGCTAACTTAAAGAAGGGGTTTGACCTCGTTCACCATAACGTTGTTATTATGTCCACCCTGTCTTGGTTCATTGGATCAAGTCCTTTTTAACGGAGAGAGAACAGTGTGTTAGAATTGAAAAATCCACCTCATCATGGAAGAAGACCAATGGAGGTGTCCCTCAGGGAACCAAACTGGGCCCCCTTTTGTTTGCTGTGTTAGTCAATTCGCTTTTAGATAACTGGCAAGGAAGGATAAAATTCGTGGACGATGCCACTGCACTCGAAATTGTCCCTTGTAAGTTGTTCTCCAAGTTTGCTCCCCCTGGTAGTAGACGAAGTGATCAATTTTGCTACTAATCAAAATTCCTACAAAAACGTGCTGTGCGTGCTATTACAAATTCTGATTTCCGTGCGCATACAGCACCTCTATTTATGAAATTAGGCATTTTAAACATTTTCCAAGTTAATTCACTGTACATTGCCAGGTTCATGTTTTGTTATCATAATGAAATTTTACCACCTGTATTCCATTATCTGTTCCAATGTAGCAGTCAGATACATAGTTACAATACCAGATCAGCAAATAATTATCGGCCTCACGCTTGTCGTACTAATCTAAAAAAAATTACTATACTTTATCGTGGCCCTATAATATGGAATTCACTATCGTCTGATATAAGAAACTCGGGTAGCTTATTTACTTTTAAGAAAAAAATGATGAAATTTCTTGTAGAAAATAATCTCTAAAACCCTTATGTATATATATTTATATATATTTTT